GGAGCGACAGATTTGGAAAACGGCAAATCAACAAACTATGTTTGTAATGACGGAATTTGCGACCTTAGTTGGCTAACGATGGTTTTGGCAAACACACCCCAGTTTAGCTCATTTGATTCACCTTGCACATGTCTTTGGACTGTGGGGAAAATAGGTGCACCTGGAGGAAACCCACGCGAACACTGGGAAAACATGCAAATTTCACACTGAAATGCCAACTGACCCAACCAGGGCTCAAATCAGCGACCTACTTGCTTTGAGGCAATCGTGCTACCCACTGCGCCATCTTGACGCCCATGTTTTTATATATTGCATGGTTGCTCAGTGTTTTGCACTGTCACCTCACAGCAAGAAGATAACTGGTTCAAAGCCCAGCTGGGACAGGTGGCATTTCGATGTGGAGTTTGCATGTTCTCCCTGTGTAAGCATTAATTTTCTCTGGTTTTCCCCATAGTTCAAAGACGTGGTATACATGTAGATGAATTGAATAAACTAAATTGACTGATGTGTGTGTGAAGGAGAGAGTGTTTGGGTGTAACATATGCCAGAGTAGTTGGCGGTTCATTCTGTTATGATAAATCAGGGACTAACCCAAAGGAAAGTGAATAAATAAAGAATAAAAAAAGAATAGCCAAGAGTTAGAGGTTCAAGTGTAGATGGAAGATGTCTCTTTAGTGGCAATCAAATGCATAATATAGTATTTTAAAGAGTTGCAAATGTTTTGTCTCTTCAACAAATGGTTAAGTGTAGTCTAAGTGGATGGTTGTCTATAAGTGCACATTGTTATATGCATTTGTTTAAATTATAATTTATATATTTATATTCATTTAGACACAACCAGGTGTTGTGGCAATTAATACTCACACCTTAACTCAGATCTTAGAAGGTGAAGCAAGAGCAAGGAGCCGTTATTTTACCAAGGTATGAAAGTATGAAAAGTAACACAAGTAGTCTCACAATAGTTGTTCATTTGCTCACACTAAACGCATGATATACATAATGTTTCTGTTCTTTTTAGAGGAACATCTTTGAAAATATCAATGAGATTGTTGGTCCCTATTTGGAGGATGGCAATCACTGGACATTTTTTGTAAGTCAGTCTGTTAGAAAACATGTTTGGTATTTACTAATGTGCATATTTTTAACATGTCAAGCGTAAGTTCCCAGAGAAATATGTATGGCAAAAAATATTTTTAGTTTTTCAAATGATTTTATAAAAAATATTTGTTCTAGCACTGCAGTCTGGTGGATCAAACTATTTTGTACCTCAATTCACTTGGGGAACAGGATGACCAGTACAGTAAATTAGCTGAAAACTGGAGGTACCAAGTTTATAAATACATAAAAAGAAAATAAACTTTGTATTACACATTTAAATTACACATTTAAACCATTTCAAACTATGTTGTAGCACATTTGCTGCATCAAAAGGTTTCCAAGGGCCTTGGAAAATGATCAAGAGGTGCCATGCTCTTCAAAATGACAGTATTTCCTGTGGTGTTTTCACAGCTGTGGTAAAGTTATTTATATTGTAGTGTTGTTATTATTATTAATAATAATATTATTAAAATAGTTAAAAAGTTTTAGAATCTTGCAAATTTTGTAATTACTAATGATCCTGTATTCATATGACATTGTTTTTTATTTGTAATTTTGCTGCTGTGACATTAAATTTATCATTCTTTTTGAAAAACATTCAGTTTGCTGAAGCCTTTCTAGGAGGTGCAAAGGGGTATCTTGCATGCTCACCTGTACAGCAAGAGAGGGAGCGACTAGGGTTGCTTCTCTTCAGCTCACTTGGTAAGTTCTACACACATGTGTTTTACATATATTGATTGAGTTTCATATTTGTTGTTTTCTGTTTCAGATAGGTCAGGTTTTTGTGGGATCTGTCACTTTATCTAGGAAGAGCAAGGCAAGTGATTACAATTCAAATTAAGTTAATTGAAACTACACAAAAAAATTAAGAACCATTATATTCTTAACAGATGATTCTCTAGTTTTATTTCTGTAGTGTTTTGAATTATTAATCCGGGTTGAAATGGCTGATTGATTGGAGACTAAAATAAATACAATTTTAAATTATCCTCAGACACTGGACAATATTGACCCTACAATTTTGTGATGAAATTTATTTTCTAGGAAAAATGTTCAGTTTGTTTAGCAAATATCCATAAAAAGTGCATACCTGACAATCAAGAAGATGCAAAGTGTTATTTTTGCAAAGGTACGTTCTTATGCTTATAAATACTCTAATATTACATCTTACAATCTGAGATGCTATTAGTTAAGTTTTATAATAGTATGCCAATGTTCATATTGTTTTTAAATATATGCATTCTGTGAGAAGACAGCTCAGGAGAAAGTAACCAAATCCACACTAAAACTAAGGGACAAGACAGCTCAGGAGAAAGTACCGGTAATGGATTTGAGGCACAAGACAGCTCAGGAGAAAGTACCGGTAATGGATTTGAGGCACAAGACAGCTCAGGAAAAAGAAACGGTGATGGATTTGAGGCACAAGGGAGCTCAGATGAAAAAAACAGTGATGTATTTGAGGCACAAGACAATTCAGGAGAAAGAAACGGTGATGGATTTGAGGCACAAGTGAGCTCAGATGAAAGAAACAGTGATGGATTTGAGGCACAAGACAATTCAGGAGAAAGGAAAGGTGATGGATTTGAGGGACAAGGCAATTCAGGAGAAAACAACCAACAACGGAGAAAGAGCAGAACTGAGGGAAAAGACAGTTTAGGAACAAGTAACCAAAATTCCATTGTAATTGAGGGAGAACACAAGCAAGATCATTCAGGTACAATTTTAAGTAGAGATCAGGGCTAGGAAAATGAAGAAAAACATATCTTAATGCTCTAGATAGGTCTAAGGACAGTACAACTCATTCATGTCTCATTCAATAAACATAGTAAATCATATTATGTTAACTGTTAATATATGACTTTCCCCAAACTTCCAGTGAGGGGATTCCTGGTAGAAAGTGTCCTAAAAGTTTCAGACTTTCATCAAGCAAAGAGGTAAAAGTAATATTGAATTGGATAATACTGAAGATTATGTTATACATCATCTTATTCTGTACACAGAATGGTATTAAATAATAAATATATACAGGTTTTCCCCTCTTTCATAAACAGCAGATTTAAAGACTTAAAGCACCATTAATTTTGAATCAAACACCTTTTTTAATCTCCCCAGTATATGTAGCGCCATTAAAGTCCTTTCTGTATTTAACATTTCAGTTACACTTACTATTTACATTGCAATGTCAGATTAATGATGTTGTGTGTTGATGTCATGTTCAAAGAACTTTAGTCAAATTTATTAAATCAATACTGGAAAGATTCAAATGTCATTTCTAAAATGTTGATAAAATATGCATTGTTTGGTTTAAAACAGTTTATAATGTTTTAGTTCTGTTTTTAACAGCAGCACAGTACAATTTTCTAAATAAACCTATAAACAAATTTAATTTACAAATAAATTCAAGCACTTTCAAGAAACTGCTTTTTGAGTACTTTCCATGCCTTAAAATTTAAGTACTTTCAAGAAGTGTGGGAACCCTGTCTATATTTTGTATTTGTAAGATATTTGAAGCTTTATAACGCTCATAATTGTTAATTCAGATACCTGGTTACATCAGAAGAGCTACAAAGGAGGTGCTCTCCACCAGAAAGTTACTCTGCAAATACAGTAGTGGCCTATCTAAGGAAAGCCAAAGGACAAAAAAGGAAAATTGCTGAGAGGTTGGCAGAGCTAGATGTAATGCCCTCAACACGAACAAAACTCACTTCGCAGTGCTCCAAACTATGTGAAGGTGTGTAGAAGGGCAGGAGTAGAGTACTTGAAATAAAATTCTAATAACTTTTTATTACTTTGAATCATGGAAATTTTTATTATAATAAAACTATACTAAATGCTAAATTGTTGCAATTGTAATTCCCAGGTGTTGTCCAGAAATGCTGAATTCCCCAACAGCATATTTTTAAGTGGCTTTAATAAATCATTATCAAAATTATTAATAATGTATTAAAAAAATGTTTTTTCTTTTTTGCTGCTTCCACATTATTGGATAGTTGTATGGTTATCCAAGTATAAATAATTTGTTAAATAGGCAGTGAGTGTACCTGCTTAATTTTTTTGTTTATATGTTGGACATTACAAATTAATTTGTTGAATATTTAATACATTTTAGATGAATGCAGTGATCTAGCTGATGATATAATGTACCTAGCAGCCAAGACCATCCCCCAGAAAAGAGTGGCTCAAGCCTTGCCGGAAGAAGGGAATGTCCATGCAGCCTTGGCCAGAACAGAAGACTGCATGTAATATAATTTACTTCTACACTTGACATTAACTGAATGATTGATTGATCAGTTGAAGCAGGAATGTAAAGTTTTTTTTTTTGTTGTTTTTAATTTCAGGAAGACATTAAAAGCTGTGGAGAATGCTTTAGAGGCTCACTGGGAGACATTTAACCTGGCAACACATGGTCTTGGACCTGCTGTTATAAAGGGCACTATTTCATTAATTGACTCATGTCTTAAGGAGAAAATGAAAGCACTGAAAACAAAAAACACAGATGTGTAAGGCTTGCCTCCTGTTTTCTTTTTTGATGTACACTGTTCAGTAGAATATGGAAAAATAAAGGCACTACAGTTTAAAGTTTCAGTTTGATTTGTTTACTTTCCTGAATGCTTGAAACCTTTCTAGTCAATAAAATGTAATACACAAGTAGTAGATTTTGTTAACAATGTTTTTTGAATGCGTAACATTATATATATATATATATGTGTGTGTGTGTGTGTGTGTGTATATATACATTTACATAGCAATTAACATTTCAGTAAGACTGTTGCAAGATCAGACTTTATTGTTGCGTTTTCCTATTTTTTTATTTACAAAATGTAATTCAAAGTAAACTTGATTTGATTTCACTAACAGTATTCCAAAGATGTTACAGAATGAACAATACAATTAGTGTTAGTATCTGGTAGAAAATTACATGTTTCCATTTTGTAAATTGTACATTTTGAATACAGCCCCTTTATCATATTTATCGATTTGATTATTAGCTCATTGATGCGCCAGCTCACCCATATAACAAAAATGACAAGATATACATAGACACACATTAAAAACATGTTAAAGCATTGTAATTTGTTCGATTTCTGCATCACTACAGTGCCATTTTGTGATTTGCCACTATTTGAAGAGCAAAAATATAACTTTAGAGAAATGTGATTATTTTAATAAGACATTCCCTACTTACAGAGTGAACCTTGTTTTTTTCTTTTTGACTATGTAATTAACACTGACTCTATCTTTTGCTTTTTTGACCATTTTTCTATAACCATGGAGAGCAGCAATTTTTCTTTTCCTTGAAACTTTGCTAAACTAGGAAAAAATCAATTTGTGTGCCCTCTGTACTAAATTGTACACTTCCTGAGTCTCTTGAAATTGTTCTGACTGGCTCCACTCGTGAAGATCTGTGAGCATGTCCTGCAGTGTAGCCTTTTTTCTTTCACAGGACTGTAAGCATTGTAAATCAAAAGAATCGCTCTGACAAGATTTGTAAAGAATGCTGTGAACTAATGTACATACACACAGCTCCCCATGACTATTTGCAATGCATGTGCAAAATCTTGTCACTTTATGACTTACTACTCCTACACTCCCATCAAAGTGACAGACAGTAAGGTTTTCACTGTCTGTGAAGTAGGATTGACTGTCAACAATCTTTCTTGCTGCATCAGTCCTAAGGTCTTGAATCACAAGTCCTTGTTTCTCTGCAATTGTCTTTGAAAAAATTAAGTGTTTGCACATAGATCCTCGTTGGAATCTTTTGCAGTTGCACGTGTGCATCACCAAATCAACAGTGTGAAACTGTGCTTGTATCTGGTGGTACCAAACATACTCCATCTTTAGACATATCTATTTTTGTATCCAGGCCTTTTGCAACCATAGACTGAGCAGCAATAATGGTGTCTTCGCTGTTAGATCTGTTGATTCGTCCAGTGTCTGTCAGATCATCCAGGTAACTAAATGATAAAATAAGGTAAAAAGTCAAATGACATGAAAAATCATGTACTTTCTTTTGATCATGAAAACTGACAATAACAGGTACTACAATAAAGATTAGTTTATTAATTGTAGGTAACTTGTAATTGCCAGAGGTGGTTTATGTTACATACAATCAGAGTACCACAACATAGACATGATTTCTGTACCTGGTAATTACAATTTGGCATATCAACAGTAATATGGTGATCTTAAAATTTACCTGTAATATTTCTGAACATCACCACAAAGCAAGCAAAGAAGCCGATCAATACTGCTATTCATCTTCCCCTTCAAAAATTGGTACTTCACTGTAAGGAAAAACCTGTACAAAAGATAAAGAACTTACAACATATTTTGTACAATTTTGTCATGATAATCATGTTATATTAATAATATACCATAATGAAATTTTAGAGCATACAATTATCATTGTAATAGTTCACCTCTCTGCCTTATTGTTGGTTTCACTGTTATGATGATAGAATGTCCGACCAAAATTGGACCACAATTCTCCCAAACAAATCCACTGATTCTTGAGGTAAGTTGATACATGTGAACTACCTAATAATGTATTCAGCTCTTTGCATTATGTCGCTGATACATTGTTAAACTCCTCTTCCTGTTAAAAACCACAAACAAAACTGAAAAAAATCACTGTTAAGTTATGGCTACTTACATTTACACATTTAAAGGGATAGTTCACAACACTGCAAGTAATCCAAACTGTTATGGAAACATTTCTTTAAAAAACAATGTATTAAAAAGCACAATAACATTCAAGGTGTACAGCAACATTAAACAGAAAACAAAAACCTGACCAATCTAAGGAAAATCCACTGTATACAGTTTATATTTTAGGTTTCAATAATGGAGACAGATTTTTACTTTTGAAAAATAATTATGCTATATGATGAGTATTTGAAAAAAATATTACCGTTAAGCACGATTTCATTGATGCCATTGCTTGAATTACAGTATTTCTTTGCTCAACAGGCAAGTTCCCTCCATCTTTTTTAACTATCCATCTATGCACAGCCTGCTCAAAAAAAAAAACATTTAAATTGCCAAACGGTTGTCATGATGAATGTTTTAAAAGATCTGTGATTTAAATCTTTCACATCTTTTTGTAAAATTTTGAATAAAGAAGTTCAGTCATACCTGAAGTACATGAAACCAGCAAAGAAGAACCTTCACTTTTGGAAAAACTTTTCTAATGGCATTGAGTTCCTTAAGGTCACGGTCAATCATTATTGATCTAAATGATTAGGAAACAAGCGATTTAGTAACATAAGCATGCAATATGAAGGCTAGTGTTTACAAAATCAGTATTGGTGTAAACGATTTGTTGTCTTTATTACTCAATAGTTGCATTTGTTTATAAAACTACACCAAAAGTACACCAGCAAGCGTCTGCTTACTCTGCTTGCAAAATTTACAAGGTTATACGTTTATACGTTGTTACCTTGGAAGAAATCCAGGGTTGTGTATTGCAAGTTTTTCCAAGCAGATGGCAAGTATGTCAGCTGACTCTTGACTGATAATAAAGTAGGCAAATGGTACTGCTCTTCTAATACTGTTTGTCAAAAGAAGCGCATAAAATGCATAACCATATGATGTTATGGCTTTGTAAGTGGCATCCATAAATACCATAGGATGTGGATGTTCTCTAAGCAGTTGGTTTTGCCAAGGTGTCTGCACCACAATTATTAATGGTTGATCTTCACTCAAAGGCTGGTAGTAGCAAATGTTCCCCTTCGGGGGGAACTTCAGCACTATAAGTGGATTTGATTTGTAAAATCCACGCATTGGGAGGTTCGGTTCAGAAGCTACTCGTCTGAAAGAGTATTGAACGGGCCAATTAAGAATGAATTGGCAGCGCAAGCCTGCGCAGGTGAGCGGCATAAGCAATCAACTGAGTATATAAGCTCACCTGGCGCCAGCAGACGCTATCCTTTTCGCTTCAGAGACTTTCTGATCGAGTCGATGAGGGTTCCTCCTGCTGTGACCAGCGATTCTGAGCGAACGAGAGCATTCTCCCGGTCCAGAGTGTGTACACGCAGTGGCAGACGGTCGAGCTGGGTTTCTCCCTTGCCTGGCGTTCTTTGGGTCCGGTCCTCCAGAGCGGTGCGTATAAAGTTGCAAACTTCACAGAAAGAGCAACACAGTCGTGCAGCACGTCCTTATCAGGACGGCGCTCCGACTGTGCGTTTCTGGATGCGGTGGTTTCCTGTCCTCGGATGATGGGCGCGGGCACTGCGTTACATGTCTGGGGGTCCAGCATGTTAATGCGCTGCTCGCGGGCAGTTCATGTCGTCATTGCGATGCCATGACTGTTGCGCAAGATCGCGGTTAGCCTTTGCAAAAGGGTGAACCACCCCAGTTGTCCCCTGCTCTGCAGCGGGCACTCGGGCAGATCTGAGGGTTTCAGCGAGAGATAATCCGTCGCCCACGGGCCCGCGGACCTCCCGCTCCTCTAAGCGCTCCATCCAAGCTTCGGGCGGGGGAAGCGATCCGTCTAACAGATGGTAGCCCTTACGCCCGATGACACCGGAGACCAGATGTCCACCGCGGCATCGGAGGGTGGGCTTTCATTGTCCGATGATGATCCAGACCCGCTCGCCCCCTTCGGGCTGGTGAGCGCTGTCACTACGGATCCTGAAACGGACATGTTAGCCGTGCTTTCCCGGGCTGCTTCGGCCGTGGGTTGGAGATGGTTTATCCCCCAGCTCCGCGGCCGGACCGACTAGAGGGGCGTTCCCTTCTTCCCGGAGGTGCACAGTAGGCTCACGCGGTCTTGTAAAGCACTTTTTTCTGCTCGTGCTGCGTGTTCCTCCACCCTAACCACTCTTGACGGTGAAACAGCCAGGGGGTATGTGGCGATTCCTCAGGTTGAGTGCGTGATGGCGGTAAATCCGCGCGGCGCCTCTTCTTGGCGGGATCCGCCTCGTCTCCCATCCAAAGCCTGTAAGTTATCTACCTCCCTCGGAGCTAGAGCTTACATAGCTGCGGGCCAGGCTTCCGCCTTGCATGCGATAGCCACCTACTAGCGCTACCAAGCTGCACGAGGGTGGGTCCAACCCAGGCTTACGAGCTTCGCACCGCCGCCGACTTAGCTCTTCGGACTACTGAGTCCGCTGCGTGTGCGTTGGGGAGGACGATGTCCACATTAGTGGTCCAGGAGCGCCACCCCTGGCTGATATGCGCAAAGTCGACAAAGTCCGCTTTCTTGACTTCCCCATATCCCCAGCCAGGTTCGGCGACACTGTCTGTGAATTCACCCAGGAATTCAAGGCGGTGAGAGAGCAGTTGGTGGGTGATGTCTTATCGGCGGTCCGTAGCCCGCTCCGCCCGCCGTGCCATTCATACCTGCTCCTCGCCGAAGGCGCCCGCCTACGAGAGCTGCTCCGCCCCCGCACACGCCTCAGGCGAAGCGAGCGCGTCGGGCACCTCGGAAGCAGGCAGCCCCCCTGCCCAGAACGCCGCTAAGTCCGGCAACGGACCGCGAAGCGCCCCTGGGACAGGCCATCTGGAGAAGAGGGAACTTGCTCTTTCCCCGCTGGAGGGCGGGGCCCCATTTCCAACGGCACTTTTTACTGCCATGAAAACATTATGAAAGGGCACTTTTCACTTCCCCAGATGTGACAGCCCGAAATCTGCCAGTCTGGGACGCTATGCTTTCTAGCTTGCAGATTCGGTGCGTTTCGCCAGTGGCTCACGAGCGCTAGGAGGACGGTCTCCTTTCTCCCACCCCTCGAGCCTCCCCTCCGGAGCTCGGGTTTGGAGTGAGAGCAAATATCTCACCTCCAGCTTTTCCGTGGGACCCGCGAGCTTCCCGGATCAGCACACCCACTCCGCGCTGCCCCACTGCTGGTACGTCAGCGATTGTAGCGATGAGTCCATTAGCGAGAGCTCTGCCTGCCTGGTTAGCGCGGGCCAGCTCTTCGCGGTGGCTCATACGCACAATCAGACTCGGCTATGCGATTCAGTTCGCGAAACGGCCCCCCAAGTCACGGGTGTGTATTCACCAGGGTCAGGCATATGGCATCCGCAGCCGCTTCATGCCGCTCGGATTATTCTATATGAGACCACTTCAGCACTGGCTTCACGATCGAGTCCCCAGACGCGCATGGCACGCGCGCGCACACCGAGTCTCTGTTACTGCGCTGTGTCGCCGCGCCCTCAGCCCTTGGAGCGACCCCTCGTTCCTACAGACCTGGGTGTCTCTAGAACAGGCGTCCAGTCTTGTTGTCGTTTCAGCAGACACTTCCAACACGGGCTGGGGGGCTGTGCGTTGCGGGCATGCGGCTGCGGACCTGTGGAAAGGTACCCAGTTGCATTGGCATATCGCCTGGAGCTGTTGGCAGTGTTCCTCGCTCTCCACCGTTTTTTTCCGGTGCTGGAGCGGCAACACGTGCTGGTCAGGACGGACAGTACGGCGGCGGTGGCGTATATCAGCCGTATAGGGGGTATGCGCTCTCGCCGCATGTCTCAGCTCGCCCGCCGTCTGCTCCTCTGGAGTCATCCGCGGCTGAAATCGCTGCACACCATTCATATTAAGGCAAGCTCAACCGTGCAGCCGATGCGCTCTAACGGCAGCCTTGCGTCCTGGAGAATGGAGACTCCACCCCGAGTCTGTTCAGCTGATATGGGCGCGATTCGGGGAAGCCCAGATCGATCTGTTGCTTCCCCCGAGATCGCTCATTGCTAGTTGTTCTTTCCCTGACCGAGTGCTCTCGGCACGGATGCACTGGCTTACAGCTGGCCTCGGTGCACGCGCAAATACGCGTTTCCCCCAGTGAGCCTGCTCGCGCAGTTACTGTGCAAGGTCAGGGAGGACGAGGAACAGGTTGCTGGTTGCGCCCCTCTGGCTCAACCGGACCTGGATGTCAGAGCTCTCCCTCGCGATAGCCCTCCCCTGGCAGTCCCTTCGAGAGAGCACCTACTCTCTCAGGGACAGGGCACCACCTGGCACCCTCGCCGATCTTTGAAGAGATTTTAGACGCGAGGAAGACTTAGGTAACCTCCGATTGCGGTGGCTAATACCGTCACTCGGGCTAGAGCCCCCTCCCCGAGCGCGCCTATGCCCTGACGTGGAGTCTATTCACTGAATGGTGTGTCTCTCGCTGAGAAGACCCCCGTAATTTGCCAGATCAGCGTTGTGCTTTCTTTACGCCGAGAGAAGCTGGAGAGCAGGCTGTCGCCCTCCACACTCAAGGTTACGTGGCTGCCATCTCCGCTCTCATAACGCGGTGGCTGGCAGCACCGTGGGAACGCATAACCTCATCATCCGGTTCCTCAGGGGCGCTAAGCGAATTAATCCATCCCGCCCCCTCTCATGCCCTCTTAGGATCTCGCCCTCGCTACACAAGCCGCGTCAGATCCCTTCGATCCTCGACTCAGTATCTTTCTGTCCCTGAAGACAGCTCTGCTGGTCGCGTTGATATCGATTAGAGGGTCGGGGACCCGGAGGCATTTTTCGGTCAGTGACTCGTGCCTGTAATTGGGCTGGCTTCTCTCACGTCCTGAGACCCCGCCCGCGATATGTGCCCAAGGTTCCTACCACTCCGTTTTAATACGAGGTAGTGAGCCTGCAAGCGCTGCCCTCGGAGGAGGCAGACCCAGCC